GGTATTGCCATGAGTTTGAGGCCAGCCTAGACTATGTAGTGAATTAAAGCCATTCTGAACTACGTGGTGAGATCCTGTCTCAAAAAAAAAAAAAAAAAAAAAAAAAAAATCCTACTTGCTCTATATCCAAACCACCTCTCCTATCCCTGGCCTATGTTCTCTAGGTCTGGGAAGTTCCAAGGAAAAGCCTGGGAATTGAAGTGACCTCATGTAGAGTAAAGGAGCTGAACGAATCCGTCTTGCCTCCTCACAAAACATACATCTGTAAACCCTTGGTTCCTCCATCTGGCTGATGACCTTATCAGACTCTGGGTGGTTTATCAGACTTGTTCTCCTGACCTAGAACAGAATCACTTCTTTACTCCTCCCTTAGCATTTTCTGAGTGCCCACTAGGTGCTAAGTGGGATGAATCAGAGACGCCCGAGACACACGCCTGTCCCTGGAGAATTCAGCCGAGCAGGAAGGATACCGATGATTAATCCCCATGAGGCAATGGAAGGAGCTCCCCCGGCCGGGGAAGATCTGCTCTTCCAGGGCGGGCTCTCACCACACATCTTGGGAGCAGCCACAGGACGTCGGGTCCCTCTAGGGCTGCTATCCCCGCCACCACCAGCAACAGGCAGACACCTGGCCTCTGCTGCCAGCACCATGTGCCTAGCTCATCCTCACTTATCAAGGGGAGACGGGTGCTGAGGAACAGCGCTGTCAACGTTTACCACCCAGACCTATGGAGCAGGAAGTGTGGGGATTCAAGGAATGGGAAAACAATGAGAGGTTTAGCTGCCACTTCCTGCTAGCCCAAAGCTAAAAGTCTAGTTACAAGCCCTGAATTCCGGAGGAATGTGAAAAGAGCATTGGTCTGGGGGTCTGAAAGCCTGGATTCTGGTCCCTCTTGAGTGACCTTGAGCAGGACATCAGCCCTCTGTGACTCAGTTTCTTCATCTCTAAGTACCTGAGAAGGCCAGGTATGCCTTGGAATCGCAGGAGCGGCGCTGGCTGGCCCCTGTGTGCTTGGTTTGTTTTCCCCTTAACATTTGGGCTTTCTGGGGTTAGGGATGCAGCTCGGTGGTAGAGCCATTGCCTAGCATGGACGAGGCTCTGGGTTTGATCCTCAGCAAAGCCATAAAATAATTCAAGAATTTTAAAAGTGGGCTTTCTTTGCTTTTAGATGATTTAATGCCTGAGCAACGTTTGAGGAAAGGTGGAATGAAGTAGGACCAGGTAGGGAGGGGAGCTGAGCAACAGGAGAAGCCATAAAGCAGGATGTGTTCACAGGATGCAGTGGGATGAGAGTGGGATGGAAAAGGCTGTCAGAAGGGCTGCTGTCTGGGGGACTCAGGAACAAGGACACAGGCCAGGGTGCAGCTCAGTGGTACAGTCCTTCTCCTGCATGCTGCAGGCCCTGGGTTTGCTCCCCAGCACTCAGAAAGAGGTGGATCATGCACGTAATTGCAACACGCAGGACGCCGAGGCTGGAGGGTCACTGCGAGTTTGAGGTCAGGCCAGTCCAGGCTACATAGCAAGATCCTGGCTCGAGAAAGCAAAACAAAACAAAACAAAATTAAATTTGGTCCCAGGGATCAGTACTGGCTCCAGCTAACAAGCAAGCCAGGCCCAGTGGTGGCTGCATGCAGAAAGCCATGTGCAGAGAACACAGCACACCCTGGTGCATTAGCCTCCTACCCGCTTGGAGCCTGACTGGATTCCCCTGTGTCCACCACGGCTCCTGGCCACTGAGGTCCACGCACACCTCAGGCCTGTCACACTGCCCTTTCCATGCAATCTGACCCATGCCTGCTACAGCATGAGGCAAGCTCCCTTCTGAAATTCCTAAATCCTGTTAGAAAAGAGGGCACCTCACTCCTGATAGAATTGTTGTCTCTTGTGATCCCCGATGGCTCCAGCGAGGTTTTGCAATCTCCAGTGTGGCACCGGGGTAGATTCTCCCAGCCCAGTCACTCTCTCTCCACCAACAGGGCCATCAGACGGGGCTCTGTCCCCTGGGAAGGGATTATTTAAAATCTCGTTTGTTTAAAATCTGCAGTACCACAAAGTGTGGGGCAGGGAAAGGCATGTTTTCTTTCACCAGCAGCCGGGTGTGATGAAGGGGGCGTCCTCCACCACAGTGACAGCTGAGCGGGGCTGTCACACTACTGTTTATCTTCTCCTCAGCATGCACACAGGTTGCAGACACAAGCGTGCAATGTTTGTGCTAATGGAAGCTGGTGAATGCTGCTTTGTGGGCTCACAGGCCACCTGGCCACCTTCTCCTGTCGTCAGAAGTCCCTTGGCATTTCACCCAGTCAGTGCCACACTGCAGGACACGGAGGATTACCGAGGCTGGGAAAGAATGCACAGAGTGTCTCCCTGCATTTAAAGCACCACGGGTTACATAAAGGAGAAACAGGATCCTCGCCTTGCAAGAAGGAAGAGCTAAAGTGCACCAGCGAGACACACTCAGGTGATTTCTGGCATGTGTCGTTCATCTCACTACCGAGCTTTGCTTCTGTCACACTGCTCTCATCCCTGGGAGTGCCAGGCGCAGGTTAGATTTTTTTTTCCCATTTGAAACATCTCTTCTTACTCGAGTGATATCATCCTTGAAGGCTGAAACGTAACGAGGTGAATCATGTATCACCTTCGCCTCCCTTCTACAATTACATCAGGCCAGAGCCCTGGGGTGTGGCCAGGACAGGAGCCAAAGAGCAGAGGAAAGGGACGGAGGGACAGGCACCAGGAGCCAGAAGGAAGGGAGCTGGTTCTTTCCCAATCTGCTGTCCTTCCCCCTCCTCAGAGCCCCCTTTTCCTATTTATAAATTAGGTAAGGGGAGAAACCAGACTGTAAAGGAGTGGCCTCACATTTACTGATGCTGTTGGTTTGAAGGTAATGATGTAGTTCAACAGCACCCCCATCAGAGATGAAGGAGACCCTCCGGTTAGGAAGGAGGGTACGTGCACCTCGCCTCACCCCAAGTATCAGCTGTATTCCTTGCACTGTTTCATGTCTTCATCAGTTTTTGGTTTTGGGGTTTTTTGTTTTGGTTTTTTTGAAACAGGGTCTCATTGTGTATTTCAGGCTGGCCTTGAGTTTACTATGTAGCCCAGGCTGACCTCGAACTCACAGCGATCCTCCTGCCTCAGCCACCTGAGTGCTGGGATTACAGGCGTGCGCCACCACACCTGACCCTTTTTTACCCCTTTGGTGGTACTGGGGATTGAACTCAGAGCCTCGTGCATGCTAGGCAAGCAGTCTACCACTGAGCTACATCCCCAACCCACTTCATCAGTTTCGAATAGCAGAGGAACGTGCCAGTGTGCAGAAATAATAGGAAGTGCAAAGTCTTGTCACACAGGACAATGACACGATGGAGCTGTTTGCTGACCAAGTAAGCCCACTGCTGTGGAAAGTCACATCACTACAGTTGGATGGATGGGCTGGGATTTGACTTTCTTGAACAATATCTGGCCTTTTTGTTTTGTTTTGTTTTTGGAGACAGCGTGTTGTTACACCCTGGCTGTCCTCAAACTTGCAGCAATCCTCCTGACTCGGCCTCTTGAGTGCTAGAATTACAGGCATGCATCACCAACCTGGCTAAGCTAGCCATCTTAAACCATTAACCAATGGTGTGCATCTGAGGTGTTCACAAAGGACAGGGATTCTAGCAAACCAGAACAGATTCAAAGGCCTGGCCCACCACCTAACGTCCTTAGGTAGTCATCAAATATGTTTAAAACTATCTCCCACCCTCTCCTTTAGTTCCTTTTCTTTTTGAGAGTTTTAGCCCCAAACCACTCCCACTAACTAGGAAGAAAATCTTCCACCCTCCCTTCCTCTCTGGTTCCAGTGAATTCCAGATTCCTCAGATCTCTGGGTCAGGCTGCTCCAAACACACTTGTGATAAAAAGAAAACAGAGTGGCTGAGGACACTGGGAAGGCCAGGAGGGAGGTCTGCCTCTGCAACACAGGAAAGGAGGCTGGAAAGGGCAAAGGGAAAAAATCTGCAGAAGGCACGGTTTGGGCAGCATCTGATTACAACTTCCAGCTGATGGAGTGGAACCTAACTACAGACATCTGTTCGGAGTTTACAACGGAAACAAACACGCAGGAAACATGAAAACCCTAGAGCAACACACACACATCCACACGCACGTGCACGCCCACATGCCACCCAGATGGAGCTCCCAAAGCTCCCCTCTGCCCTGCCCTCCACACCACCCCGACGGGGCCAGGCTGGGCTGCAAACAGTAAGGGAATGGGCTCTGCCAGTGCCTACCCCAGCGTGCCTGCACAGTGAAACCATGGCTCACCCACGCAGGACTGGCACTCACAACTCTTCCCCAGCTTGGTTTTCCTTCCAGGAAAAGCAGAGACGGCTTACTCCCCAGAGAGCTGCATGGGGATTTCCTCTCACTTTTCCGTCCCTTTCTAATACTCCCTGGAAAAGGAAAGGAAAAGATTATGCAGTAGGCCCTCCTTGACCATGAGGGTAACCCATAAAACTTCAGCAGACCTGAAAGTCATTCCTCGCAAGCTTTTGGGTGGGAAACTCCTCCTGCTGGCTTCTCCAAAAATTAAATTTTAAAAAAGGAAAGTTTTAATTAAATCAAAAAGCCGGGCATGGTGGCGCACGCCTGCTGTAATCCCAGCACTTGGGAGGCTGAGGCAGGAGGACCATTGCAAGTTCAAGACCAACCTGGGCTACAAAATGAGCTCCAGGCCAGCCTGAACTGCACAGCGAGACCCTGTCTCAAAAAGACAAAAAAAAAATAAAATAAAATAAAATAAAATAAATCAAAAAGACCAGAGAAAGTTCACACACATACAACTCACTAAGTGAACAACATGGAACACACTCGGGGACACTGCACCCACAGTTGAGCAGTCCAGGAAGGCCCGGGACAGTGGCCAATTCCACCACTGTCCTGGGGCTGGATACCCTTGTCCCTCAGCCACCTCCACGCCACACACCCTGGGCAGCAGCTCCACACACTCACCTGCTGTGTGACATTTTCCTCTTTATTGTGGCCCCCACCGGCATGCCCACAGAACCAGAACCATGCTACTCAAAAAATAACAAAATGTTTTATCCACATTTCCGTATATACAACTGAACAACATTGTACATGTTTCTTTTGCACAGCAAAAGAGATATAAACATTCAGCTCTGAGAACACAGTTATGTACAAAAGAAAAGTCAAAAATATTTCACAACAGTGCAAAAATATTTTACACAGCATCACAGAGTGAGATCTTTGGGGCAGGAGGAAGGTGTGTGTTTCTACAGGAAAACTCCTTTTTAAAAGATATTAGATGTCCTTAACTGTAAACAAGATGCAACTTTCCTTCATAACCCACCCCCCAAACAATTATTTGAGGAATTTGGCAGATTTTCAAGAGTCTGAGTCTGAGATAAACAGTCCAAGTCATACACCAAAAAGAACTGGGAATTGGGGTGGTATTGAAGCCGTGACGTTGTGACCACGACTTTTTAAAGTACGCGTCAATGACAGTGCAAAGTGGCTCCCTGGGAGGGGGTCGGAAGAAGTTAAACCCCGCCCCCTCTTCGGCCCAGCGCCTCACAAACAGGAAACTGGCTGCCTGGCCGGACTTTTCCAATCCCTGGGCGGCTTCTCCTCCCCACCCCATATGACTTCCCTCTACTTTTAGGGTTTTCTCTTGCATGTGCCCCCATCCCCACGACCAATCTGAGCCGCCTCAAAGGGAGCAGCCAGAGTGCTGAGGTCGCAGGTTGGGAAGGAAGCAACCATGGGGAACTCCAGTCCTGGGGCCCACCCCCGTAAGGGATGCGCCCCCTCCCCATTTCCCCTTTCCGGGGCGGGTAGGGGAGAGGGAGGTTGTTGGGACCACGGCTGGGGAGTCCCTATCAGGTGCGGGGAGCGCACGGCAGAGTCCGCTGGACGCTCAGCCCGAGTAGGGCGTGTCGGGGCTGGGGCTGGCACTGCTACCAGTGGGGCCAACCGGGCTCCCCGCAGTGGCTGAGGTGTCCCCGCCCTCGATGGAGCTCTCGCTGCCCGTGCTCTCGCCCGACAGCAGGCGCGTTACACGCAAGTCCGCCTGCAGGGTGCGCACGTCGTTGCCAATGCTGAGCTCTCCCAGGTCACTAATCAGCTGCGACAGCTGGGCCTTTATATCCGAGGAGGCACCGTCCTCCCGCAGCGGAGTTGGTGTCCCGGCCCCGCCGCCCAGCGCCTCCTCGCGGCCGTTCTGCACTGTGTCCAGCAAGTCCCCGCACTCCAAGTGCATGGCCACCACCAGCGTGCTCTGCTCCTCGCCCTGCTCCTGCACTGGGTCCAGCTGCCTCGCGCGATCCTCCTCCTCCTCCTCGTTCTCCTCCTCGTCCTCCTCTTCCAGGCAGCCTTCCAGGTGCTGCTGCTGCTCCTCCTCCTCCTCTTCCTCCTGCTCTTGCTGCTCGCCGAGCAGGTCCTCGGTGATGGAGCCCAACTTGGGGGCGCTGCGGCTGCGCTCCACCGGGGGTTTGTAGCAGCAGGGTCCGTGCAGCAGCAGCTTGCGCAGCGGCACCAGCGGGATGGTGTGCGCCCCGACCAGCTCCTGCTGCTGGTGGCGCGCGTCGTCCCGCCGCTTGAGGCGCTTAAACTCCGCCAGCGCATTGGCTGACGTCTGGTACAGCAGCAAGGCCATGGCCTGCGCCTTCTCGGGCTTGGACACCAGCACGGCGTGACAGCGCAGCATCACCGCCTTGTGCTTCAGCTCGTGCCGGTACACCCAGGCAAAAACCTTGGGCAGGCGCGCGTCGGCCACGCAGTAGGTAACGCGGTGCAGCAGGTAGAGGTGGCCCGGGCGGCGCAGCGCGCGCTCCTCCGCGTGCACCATGCGGATCCCTTGCGCGCTCACCGTCAGCTTCATCTTCGTGCCCTGGCGGCCAGCCTCGCTCTTGCTCCAGATCTTGCCCACCGCCAGGTCGGTGCAGCCGTCGCCGCGCGCCTGGATGGTGGTGGCGTTGCCCAGGTAGAGCACAGTGTACGTGGGGTCCTCGCTGGTGATGTGCAGCTTCTTGCGCTTGGAGCGGAACATGCTGCCCACGCGGCTGAGCGCGCCTTCGGGGCAGGCGCGCGCTAGCGAGCTGAGCGCAGAGTAATGCAGGCTCACGGCGTAGCCCTTGGGCTTGGACGCCTGCCGCGGCGGCGCCTCGGCCAGCAGCTCGAACTTGTGCCTCTTCCACGGCAGCATCTCCGGAGGGCGCCCCGGCGCGGCTGGGTGGCGCGGCCGAGCGCGCAGTGTGGGCCCCGCAGAGGCACCAGCCCCAGCCGAACTTGGCCTGGGCAAGACTGAAAAATAAAACTCTGCTGGGAGCGGCCCTGGGGGGCAGGCAGAGGAGGACTGAGAGTACTTGGGCACCCCGCAGGGGGTGGAGTTCAATTTTAAAGAGAAGAGAAAATATTTAGCTTCGAGTGCGCAAAGGGGGATGGGGGTGCGGGGGCGCGCGCGCAACACAGTCACCCTAGTCTAGATAAGGACGAAGGCAAAAGTCTCAGGCGAGCAACAACACGAGAAAAAAAGGGAAGGAAAGTGGAGTGGAAAATGTCTCCGAAAAAAACCAGATGCGCCCGTCTGGATAAATACGGGGCGTCCGCGCCGCGCAGCCAGGATGGGGCGCCGAGACGCAGGAACTCTCCAGAGACGGCGATCGAGCCCCGCATCCGGCACTCGGGCCCCGGCCCGGAGCCTCGGGGACTCTGTAACAGCCCGCCCCGGGGCCAAGCTCCCCACCCCCAAGGGTCGCTGGAGAGTGGGGGCCGCTGCCGGGCAGGTCCCAAGATCAGCAGCTAGCTGAGGGTGTCGGAGTCCGGGCGGCCCGCGGGCCCCGCGCAGCGACCTCGCCGCTCACTGCATCCCGCTCGGGCCGGAGCTCACTGTCCCGGCCGGCGCCGCCGGGGCAGCGCGGGGCTCCGAGGGCGGAGCGCGCGCACATCGGCTCGGGGACTCCGCTACCTCATGGCTCCGCTCCCGGGGACGCCGCGCTCCGCTCCCGGCTCTCCTGGGTTGACGGCCCGTCCTTGCAGCGCGCCGGGTCCGATCCTGCGCGCGGTAGCCGGCTCGCCAGCCTCACATCCTTGCCGTCCGGGAGCTAGAGCTCGGGTAAATATAGGCCGGCGCGAACCATTCGTGCGCGCGGACAGGGGAGGAGCAGAGGAGAGGCTCCGCTCCGGACCGCGACGCCCGACGGATTTCTGGTCTCTTAAAGGGACCTGGTTGCAGCCCTTGGTCGAGGGCAGAAAGAGACCAATCCAATCCTACAATTAAATCCTAAATGTACCAGCATTTCTTTTATCTACAGCAACTACGAAGATCTAGGATTACCCCGCACCAAAAGGAACTTGCGCTCTAACACTCCACCCCCAAAGCTGAATAGCAACTCCCTGAATAAATGTACGCCTAGATCGAAACTTCTGGGGGAGGCGGCAGAAGGTGAGGTTGTAGACTGTCATTTCCAGTGCAGAAAGGTTGGACAAATAGTGATTGTTTTTCTTGTGGGGCCGCTCAGCTCCAAGAATCCCTGGGTAGTATAGAATATTATTTTCAGAATTAGATTCTATTAAAGAAAGCAAATTGGTCGTGGGGTTGCATGCCCCTTAATCCCAGCACTTGGCAGGCTGAGGCAGGAGAATCACCAGAGTTTAAGGCCAGCTTGGGTTACATAGTGAAGTCAAGGCCAGCCTGGACTTCATAGTGAGACCCTGTCTCAGAAAAAAACAAAACAAACAAAAAAACCAAGCAGAGTGATGAAGACGTATCTTTGACCATGTTGGAGCCTGTTACCCACAAGTCAATAGCAGGTAGTGAAAAGTGAGCGCTGAGAGGATTGAAAGACACGTTGCTGTTGAGAGTCAATAAACGAGGTGCTCCCAGGTCCCAAGCCCCCAGCAATACTCGTGCTGTGAACCCTCGGAGTGGAGTTTCCTGAGATAAACACAGTTCTAGGTGCTGCTGTGTGTGTGGAGACCTCAGTTTACTTGGGCAGGCCTGGAACTCGGTTTTGTTATATCACTGGCAAATTTGGGATGAGCATTCCTAGTAAAATGCAAATGGCATGTTTTATTTGAGTGTCAGACAATGCCTGGCCACCCTCCCATGGGAGTGCTGATTGCATTAATCACGCTGCTTTCCGTGCCAACTGGGCGATGTCCTTGGGTAGCTCATTGCCGGGCTCGTGAAGCTGCCTGCCTGCCTCTATGTTCTGCTCAGGCTGAGCACAAGGACTTCAAGGCCAGGCGTGGGGCACGCCTATAATCCCAGAACCCAGGAGGCTGAGGCAGGAGGATCACTGCGAGTTTCAGACCAGCCTCAGCTACATAGTGACACCTTGTCTCAAAAGAAGGAGAAGATGAAGAGAGGAAGGAGGGAGGAGGAAGACAGAGTGGGCTACATGCTATGAGAAAGACCCAAAACTACTATGAGAAACTTCGAAAAGAAAAAGTTGGTCGTGGCTGAGGAAAGCGGAAAAGAGTTCCTGGCAGTAGTGACATTTGAAGGGTGAACAGAATTTCCCCAAAGCAGAAGGTCTGCTGGGCTTTCTGGGTATAAAGGACAGCAAAATCACAGAAGCGTTGAAAATGCATGTGCACGTACAGGGGAGGATGGAGTTTAAAGCTACAACAATAAAAGGAGGAAGTTTCCCCATCAAAGCTGAAGGTTCCCGGCTAATGGATTTCCGAGCCTCTGCTTTCTGAAGGTGGGAATGGCCTGACCGACCCAGGGCCAGGAGGGAGGACAGAGTCGCAGATGCACAGCCCCGGTCGCCGCCGCCACTCTGTGTCACGCCTCAGCTGCCTCTTTAATAAGCTTACTTCAACCTCGGGGAGCAGCAGGTTCTAGGCGAATGTGAACACCCGGCCGTGACTCACGGCCCAGACCTGTGCTGAGACCCAGGAGCGGAGCCTGGCTGTCTCCACCCCGCCCGGGCCAGGCGGTCTCTGGGACCCGCCTGACCACCCCCGCTGAGAGCTCCTGAGGACGCCAGCTCGGAGATCAGAGACTGGGGCAGCGCTGCACAGGACCGCTGCAAAATCAGCTGGGAAACCGCCCACACGGTGACTACTTTTTGTGACGCGGCGCCATCTAGTGGTAGCACACAGAAGCGCCGCTCGGTGGGATGGCTTCCCATAAAACCAGCCAGGCCAGTGGTTGGATGGACAGACAGCCAAGTCACCGGTGGAAGGAAACGCTGTGACCTCAGGAGTCCCGCCCACAGGCTGGTATTGAGGTCAACCTTTCATGCCACAAGGGCTCTGGGGCGGCTTCTCCCTCTCCACCGCCCTCCCCCAACGTCCCACGGAATGGACGTCAACTTCAGAGGTGACAAATGAGGAATCTGGAACCTTCAGAGGTTTCCACAAATATTTGCTGAGAGTCCTCGGGTGTGACATAGTTGCAGCGCCGGAGGGGCGGGGAGAGCAGTAAAAAAGACAGGTGTTTGCCTTCGTGGGATTTACAGGCAAAGGTGAGGCAGATAATCAACAAACGACTAATAAAAGATCGGGCAGAGATAAGGCCCCGAGGCAAGGAGGCAGCGTTAGCAGTGGAGAGGGGCTGGCTTAGAAACACAGGCCCAGCCAGGCATGCTGGCGGACACCTGCGACCCCTGCACTTAGGAGGCTGAGGCAGAAGGATAGCTGAGAGTTCAAGCGTAACCTGAATTACATAGGGAGACCCTGTCACGAAAAACCAAAATACATGGTCGAGAAGGCGCGTCATTGGGCACAGCCTCCAATGAGTGCCAGTTGCACAGAGAGGGCAGTGCACTCTGGCTCGTGCAGCTAGTAGGGCGGTCACCAGCCATGTGTGGGTTTTCAGCACTGAGATGCACATTTGGTATTGAGTTAAATCAAATATGTATTTTTTGTTCGTTTTTGAGACAGAGTCTCCCTATGTCATTCAGGCTGGCCCTGAACTCCCTGTGTAGCCCAGGTTTGGCCTGGAACTCATGGCAATCCTCCTGCCTCAGCCTCTGAGTGCCAGGATGACAGGTGCACACCACCACACTAGGCTCCTCCAACTCACTTTTAAGAGCCTTAACTCCCTGTTCCCCTGCTAGACTGTGTGCTCCTGGGGGGCAGGGATGCTATTTATTCCCTGTTGTGTCACCACTGCTAGCATGATACCTGGCACCATGTCAATGTAGGGTCAATGTCTGCAGAACAAGCATGAACCGTGTGGGTATTTTCACAGTGATGGGACGATGGCAGACACAGGCTGCTAGAACCAGGCATGGGCTGCTAGAGTGTGGGCTGCAGGATAACCTGGCTGGCCCGCAGAACCTGTGCGTGGCAGACGCAGTGTCAAGGGAGCCTGTGCCAGTGTCTGCATTTTACAGAGGGAGAGGACGGGGCCTGCAGCAGGGAGGAAACTGTCCTCAGGTCCCCCAAACCCATGCTCTTTCTGACTGAGCCTGCCAGGGCCCCTCCCAGGCCTGCCCGGGCAGGCGGGGCATGGCCAGGCTGAGTCTCAGAGGCTCTCGGCCCTGCCTCCCACTCTCGGCTGAGCTGATGTTCTTCCGGTTGTAAGGACAGCAGGAAGCTGTCGTCATTTCCTGGGGCTGCCAGAGGAACAACCTTCAATGGGGTGGCCCAGAAATACATCCTCTCAGCATTGTGGGAGCCAGAGAAGGATGCCGCCTTCCTTGTCTCTTCTGGTGTCTGGTGGCTACCCAACGTGTCAACCCACGCTCTGCCATGATGGTCGTGTGTGGCGTCTCTCTGTGTCCTCTGTGTGGAGCCACGGTGTCCAGTCTCACAAGGACAGCAGCCCTTGAACCAGGGCCCGCTCCAATCCGTAGATTCTTTCCTTCCCTTCATGACATCCACAGAAACATTGCCCAAATAAGGGCACGTCCACGTGTGCCGGGAGTTCGGACTTGAACGCCTCTGTTTGAATCCAAGACAAAGGCTATGGCAGGAAGGAGCAGGAGTGAGCAAGGGACAGAGGAGCAAGGTCAGAAAGCCACAAGCTCTGGAGGGGACCCTGTGGCCTGTGTCCCCAGGAAGGTTTTCCTTGTGCCTCTTGTCATGGCGCCCGCCCCTCCCAGGGCTGCTTGCAGGAAGGTGGGACCCAGCAGAAATGCAGTGCTAGGGGCCGGGGATATAGCTCAACGGTGCAGCGCCAACCTGCAAGCACAAGGTCCTGAGTTCAATTCCTAAAAAAAAAAAAAAAAAAAAAAAGCAATGCTAGACAGAAGCCAAGCAGAGAGAAACCAGTGCCTTACTCACCTGCTGGGATCAAAAGCAACAGTGAAAGTGTTTACATTTTTTAAATTTATTGCAATAAATGACACATTGCCGTGAATCCCCCTCAAAATTCTCCTCCTCCATTTGAACACAATTACCCCATGTTCTTGCCACTTTCTGAAACAGCCCTGGCGCCCTCTTTCCTGAGCGTCGTTAGTGGTACCATCGCGGCTGTCGTGTTCTGAATTCACTCATTCTGACTTTGGAGAAAAGCCAGAAGTCACACGGTGCCAGATCCGGTAACTAAGGTGGACCAGGACACAATGTCATGTTTTTATGAGCTGCCTTTCTGTTGGACGGCGCTCGGCAGCAGAATTTACCATAATTTTTATCACACCTCATAAAGACACTCAAGAAAGAGGACTCCAGAGCTGCTGACCCCTGTGACCTCAGACACTGGGTATACACAGGGCAGCACGAAGAAGGGAGCCTGCCAGGGTCAGTTGAGTCTGCCAAGCACTTCAGTGGTCATCTGCCCGATACCCGCTGTGAGGCGTGAATGCACCGTGGAACACCCTGAGGTTTGTCAGCCTTTGCTCGAGCACCTCCTGTGCGGGGATCTCACTGCCTTCCAAAGCCACATGCTCCACCTTGGACCCACGCTCATGGCAGTGAGATTCCAACCAACAGGACCTAAATTACAACTGCGTCTCTGCCACGTTCTGGTTCTGCTGCCTCGAGTTCACTTGGAACCATCTTCCTCCCGACCGTACGACACTGCTTCATATAAGTGGCAGTGGCCCCTGTGACCCTCGGTGTCCCCCTCCTCAGGCCTGTCACACCTCCATCACCTTTGCCTCAGACGACACGGTTCTGCATCCCACCCCCACATGGCTGAAGAGCTGATGCTTACTGACATAGAGCGGTC